CAGCAGCAACTGCAAAACGATGGCGCCCTCAGACTGCTTTGGAGCGGATGCTCATCTGAATTATGAAAGGGTGATCAAGACCGGAACTAAAAACATTTGTTTGTTGGTTAATTTGTTGCATATGGAACAAATTCAAACTCCATCCACTAAAAGGTAGGAGTATTTCACAATTTTCAGTAATTAATCACCATTTCACCATAGTGATAGGGGAAATATATATTTTCTGCTTAACTCAGAATATTTTTTTTTATAAAATTTTAATGTAAGTAAACACGTCTGTGTTTGAGGAGAAGGAGATAGAGAAGATTGGGAAGATACGCAAAACAAGGTGAGCCATTAGCGCATGATTAATTGAGTATTAACTATTTTAAACTTCAAAAATAGATTAATATGATTTTTTAAAGCAACTTTCCTATAGAAAATTTTTGCAAAACACACACCGTTTAGTAGTTCGGGAAGCGTGCATACGGAAAACGAAACAAACTCACTCACAGTCACCCAAAGAACACAGCCACTCTGAAAATGATTTATCAGGAACACAATAGTATTTTTGTTCAGCACTAAATTGAAAAAGGTGGCCACCAAATAATATTTCTCTCTCTTTCATTTAACATAAAACATGTCATGTTTCGAAAGAAAAAAAAAGAAAAACACAAAAAATAAGCAGAGTATAAAGAAGTCTAAGAGGGAGCATTAAGAAAGCACAAGATTCTCTTAATTGGTTGCTGCATATGCATGTACTTCTATATTCCCCATAACTAACTCCTGACCAGAGCGTCGATTGATTGTGATCTCTGTGATTAGTTTAAAGGTTCTATCTCATCGTGATTGCCAGTAGGGATAGTGCCTTCCATCAAATGCTAATTAAATTGTAAAAATAAGAGCTTAGATAACTAAGTAGTCATCTTTTCGTACCAACTGGTGTTCACTTGCTGTACTTCCTGCCGGAGCCACATGGATCATGGATGCTTTGACAAAGAGGTCAAACTAAGTGAACCTTAACTAAACCTAGTTACTGCCACGTTACATCCCAATTGAACCAATGATCTTTAACAGGCAGAAGAAGTGACGTTGATCTATTTGGCCATGTTAATTTGTCATTTGACAATGACCTACTGCTTGGTTTCTGTGTAAACATAATTAACTTAACTAGGCTTAGCCTTTCAGGGTTTCTGGATCTGGTTACTAATTAAGGGCCTGTTCATATTAAGAGCATTTTTTAACCATACTATTATTTAATAAAATTGATAATTATGTGGCTATGTTAGTTTGTTACCAAATATTAACAATGTGTATAGAATTTTGACAACATTATTAAGCCAATCCTACTAAAATTTTAGCAATGTTGTCAATTTCCTAAAATTTTGGAATTGCTAAATTTTGGTAAGGTTTATTTTGGTACTAATCTGAACAAACCTTTCAGTTTGGTTGCTCATTGATGGCTATATATCCCAGCTTATTCTCAAACCTGGTGGCTCGCTTGATTGGCAGTCCTGTAAGCTCATCTTGCATACAAATTTTGGGGTACTAAGGCTGCTTGCATGCACCAAGAACATTTCTTCCCTTATGTGTAAGCTTAAAACTGAAGATTGTGAGGTGTTCTACTACATAATAAGAAACTTTGAGTCAAAAAACATAATAAGAAACTAGAATTAGATCTTGAAAACGATCGACTCCAATAGATGCTCATCATGAGCTTTTTTTTTTCCCTCTATTCCAATTGATTGGAAGTATCTGGCAGCACTACGCCAGAGTGACTTCCGAAGCGCTACGGACGGGACAGCTAACGTCAACTACATACTATGTCCCAAAAATAAAGGACTTTACCAATACATATACATTCTCAAAATCTTTTATAGTATTTAAATACAACCGTTTAAATTTCCAACGACACACTACATATTGCTTGCACCAGTCTACCAGTTGAGCATGACCATCCAGAGGGAAAATGCACAATATTACTCCTCGAGTGACAGTCGTTCTGGGTTGGTAAATTACTGCATCCATTCTTAATAACTGACTGTAGTATTATTTATTTTGAAACTTTAACCACTTCTTTTTAAAAAAAAATCATAAATACTTCAAATGTCTATATTACCAAAGTGTGTAGTGCTCACAAATATAACCAAACAACTTTCGTTCATCATGATATCATATTCGAATCATTTAAAACTAATTTTTGTTCAAAATAAGATGGCAATAGTCAACAAAGAGTGTTTTCAGGCTTTGTATTTATTATCTAAAAAGAGTATTTTTCGTATTTATCATCTTATTTGAAGCATGTTTTACATAAGAACCAATACACGATTCTATAGATCTGCGATACCTCATTTCACTATACATATAAGCAGAGTTGAGATATTAGTCACTAGTGAAAAAATTGAAATGAATATTATCTTCGCCTCATACATACCAAATACTCTCTCTATTCAAAAATATAAAGATTACTCGCATTCAAAATTTATGCCACAATATAAGCATTTCTTAGTCACTTCATATGCACAGAAATTCATACATTTTCAGCCCAACCATAAGATACTTGGGAGGGGAATCTAAATAATTCAAAACTCATAATTTACTCACTGATATGTTTGAAAGAAAATATTTTGACTTGTCCTTGTTATTTGCTAAATAATCTAGAAATGGTTATATATATCTTAGAACCGAGGAAGTAGAAAGTTAAATTATAACCTAATTGTATAATTCTTATCATGTACTACTCCATAAAAAAAATGATAAGATTGGGTTTTTTGTTGGAACGGAGGGTACGGCTTAGTCCCTAGCCATGTTGCTATGTTAGTTCCTTTAACTATGAATTGATATATGTGCATGCAAAGCCAACTTTTTAATGCAACTCTATCGTTGTAATAAACTAAGTACCTTCCGTCCTATCGTAAGTGGACATTAAGCAACCATGCCGACATATCAAGCTGTGAAGCTTAATTAATTAAATAATCAAATGTTGAATCAGATCCTTCAAGAAAAAAAAAAGAGAAGTAAGACAATAAGACCGTTAAGTAAAGTGAGAATCAGGATGGTTTGAGTGCTATTTGACTGGGCACTTTTGCTCTTCTAGCATTCAAAGTACTCCCTTTGTTTAAAAATATAAGTTTTTTTTATTTTATTTCATTATCACATAAGGCTTTGGCCAACAATTATATCATTTATGTGATATAGAAGCATAATTAACCATATAATTAAGTAGTACTTTTGAATACAAATTTAATAAATTCAATTTCGTGTCATAGAAATTATACCCAAACAAAGTAATGGTCGATCAAAATCTCACTCTAACAAAACAAAACTATATCTTATATTTTGAAACGGTGGAGATGAATAAAAAAAATTGAGTTCCACGAAGAGAAAAAAAAACAACTCTTCAAACTACACACTATTTTCCTTAAGCAACATCTAATTAATTGCTCTTTCCCAACATGAAAAATATGTCAACACCATCTCTTAATTAAAGTCAAATCCGCCATATATATATTTATGACCAGAAACGGTAACATGTTTAGATCCCACTGTAAAATTTTACACCCTATCACATCGAACGTTTGAACACATGCATAAAGTATTAAATATAGGCTAAAAAAATAACTAATTGCACAGATTGCGACTACTTTGCGAGACGAATCTTTTAAGCCTAATTATATTGCTACATGATTTGACAATATGGTGCTACAGTAAATATATATGTGCTAATGACGGATTAAATAGGCTTAATAAATTTGTCTCATGGTTTACTGACAGATACTATAATTAGTTTTTTTATTAGTACCCGATCACCCCATGCGACACCCTATATAGTACCCGATGTGACACTCCAAAACTTTACACCCCTGGATTTAAACACCCCCTACGTGTGTTGACTGGCATCTTGCTTCTGACAGAACAGTATTCAAATTTCAATTAATTTTTTTAAACCAAATTTCAATTAAATTGGCTAGGGGGTGGCAGAGGCTCAATGTACCTTGCTTCCTTGCCACACGCATTTCAAGTTCCGTAACAACACAGAATAAGTCCTTAATCCCTTCATCCCAATATAAATGGACCCTAGTATAGATACGAGATCACAATTCTAAATTCAGATTAGTAGTGTCCTAAGATATGTTACATTTGTGCTAGGTTATATTTATATTGAAAAGGAGGAGTAACTTAAACTCCTAGGTAACCAATCAATCAGATGTGAGAGATCAATTTGTGGATGGAGGATCTACAGACTTGGGGGCAGTTTGGTTTGAGAAACCAGACCCTCTATATGATGGGTTCCTCACGAGATCTTTGCTCAAATTTGGTAGGATGAGCCCATTCCTCATCTATGAGGTGATCAGTGATGATGGACAAATTTATTGCATTTCTAAAACCAAATATATTTAATATCAAGTAGTATTAGTCAATTGGTCATCACATTTCGTTTATTAATCCAAAGTCCATACCCATCTTTTTGAAAAATAATATTGATTTTATGAAAAATAGCAAGAATATGATTCGGTAATCAATTATGCATTGAGCTTATGACCCTATCTAACGAATTCTTTGTGCGGCAACGTATATTTACTAGTCTGAAGCTAAGCACAGTACAGATACCTCGGTTTCATTTGAAGTTCGGTATGTAAAGTTGTAAACTTTAATTTTCTTATGCTGAGTGTACATGTCTCGGTTGGGAACTTCTTTTCCCTGTGTATACAAAACGAAACGATTCAGTCGTACATAATTAATTAAGTATGAACTAAATAGATTTAAAAATTAGATCAATGTGATTTTTTTAGCAACTTTTCTATAAATTTTCTTTTAAAAAGAGAAAAAACATACATCATTTACATGTTAGAAAATGTGCGCACAAAAAACGAGAGAAGTTATGATACGTTATATATTCGAACTCATCCTAAAAATGTTTATTACCGAGTACAATAAATTGTTACTTCCTCCGTTTCACAATATAAGTCATTTTAGCATTTTCCATATTTATATTGATGTTAATGAATCTAGATAGATATAGATATATGTCTAGATTCATTAACATCGATATGAATGTGGAAAATGCTAAAATGACTAACATTCTGAAAAGATGGAGTAGTAATTTAAGACAGCACAAACAGGTTACAGATTCCTTTCACACACACTTGCAAGCCACTCTATATAAAAAGCCCTCCACTTTGAGGCTAGATAAGCTTAATTAGCTCTCTCTTAAGCCTAAAGCGAGACAATTAATTTAATAAGCACCCCCCACCACCAGCCATGGAGCACCACCACCTCCTGCTGCAACTCTCGCCGCCACCGCCGCCGCCGCCGCTGCCGGCGGCGCACCTCATGATGAGCCCGAGCTTCTTCGACGCCGGCGTGTTCGCCGATGTCGGCGGCGACTGGATGGAGGACCTCATGCATCTCGGCGAGCTGTTCGGCGTCGGCGTCGGCGGCGACGATGATGATAATGGCGGTGTCGACGGCGGCGTGGGCGGCGGTGATGATCGGATGCAAGAGTGGCAGAATAATTGCGAGGGCGCCGGCTCGCCGGACCACCAGCCTAGCTGCGGTGATGGGGATGGCGATGGCGATGGCGACGTGAGCCCTCGTGATGGGGAGCTCGGCGACGGCGACGGCGACAACTCGGCGACGAGGAAGAGGCGGGACCGGTCGAAGACGATCGTGTCGGAGCGGAAGCGGAGGGTCCGGATGAAGGAGAAGCTCTACGAGCTCCGAGCTCTCGTCCCCAACATCACTAAGGTACGTACTCAGTGCTTGATTGCTCGCGTCGGCGTCGCCATGGCGGCGCCGCCATGCGCCATTGCCAACACAAGCTTAATGATTGCTTGGCAGATGGACAAGGCGTCGATCATCGCCGACGCGGTGGTGTACGTCAAGGACCTGCAGGCGCACGCCAGGAAGCTCAAGGAGGAGGTCGCCGCGCTCGAGGAGGCGCGCCCGATCAGGCCGCCTCCGCCGTCCGCCGCCGCGCAACGGCCGCAGAGACAGCCACGCCGCGTGGCGGCGGCGGCTGCCCAGCTGGCGAGGGCCGCGGACGCCGCCGCCGTGACGACAGCGGCGGCGGCGCCGCACGGCGCGAGGGTGGCGCACGTCGGCGCGGCGCAGGTCGGGGAGGGGCGGTTCTTCGTGACGGTGGAGTGCGAGCCGGCGGCGGCCGCGGCGAGAGGAGGAGGAGGAGGCGTGGCGGCGCCGGTCTGCGCCGCCGTGGAGTCGCTGTCGTGCTTCACCGTGGAGAGCTCCACCGTCGGGTGCTCGCCGGACCGCGTCGTGGCAACTCTCACCCTCAAGGTGCGTCACACCCAATGCACCTAACTGTGTAATTATACTCTTGATCACATCTGCCACGTCACTTAACTACAATTAACTAATGATGAGTTACAAGCGATTTTACGGTCCTCAGAGTAGGCATTGAAGGTGCCTTATTATCTAACATAAAAGGTATCTCTTGGTATCTTCAACGTGAGAAGAAAAAAAAAAGAAGTTACACTAAAAATTACGGTCTTTTAATACTACTCGGTAACTGTAAAATTGCTCTTAAGTTAATTGGGTATTTTATTTTGGAAGGGGAAATATTAGCACCATTTACCTGAAAATTATTTTTCGTAAGAAAAAAGAAGTTTAGTTTTGGATTAGAGATTTAGTGGTAATGCAATTCATGCCTATATATACTATCTCCGTTTTTCTTTTATGAACCTAGAAGTTTCCTAGGTCCGATTTTCAATATTTTTACTTGTTTGATGTGGTTTTTCACTGGATATTTCTCTATTATGTACTCCCCCTCTTAAAAAAAAAAGACAAACCCTCAGTTTCCGTGTTCAATTTTAACTGTCCGTCTTATATGAAATTTTTTTATAATTCGTATTTTCATTGTTGTTAGATAATAAAATATGATTAATATTTTATTCGTGACTTGTCTTTTTATTTTTTTTTCATAATTTTTTTAAATAAGACGAACGGTTAAACGTTGGGCACGGAAATCAGAGTTTGTCTTTTTTTTTACGGAGGGAGTAACTATTATTCCATTGGGATATGTGGATTAACCGCTAATTACCTTGTGGTGTGTGTAGGTTAGTGAAGCAGAGGAGGATGTGTCGGCGATCAGCGAGTGCACGGTGAAGCTCTGGGTGATGGCGGCTCTTCTCAAGGAGGGGTTCCGGCCGCAACCGACGGTCCAGATCTCCTGATCCACCCAACACCGGCCGATATCAACCCTTGGATTTCATCGCCCCATCCCTATGTATACAACTACTGCTCTTTCATGTGTAACATCCTAACAAATGGTGTGAAGAGTATATTGGGAGGTTAATTGAGTGGTTAATCTTGGCCATCCACGGCCGATCGAACGGCTAGCGTACCACCTAATGCTTCTTCTTCTTTTTAATAAAGAGTGGTGCATGATGTATACATATACCGTATTTCGGATAATTAGATCAGGAATGAATACTTGTTGTATATTTTTCACGGTTAAGATTATGATTAGGAAGAGTGAGATTGTTTCTGCAGCCAAAAGCTCTCTTGGGGACTGACGTGTATGCACTAGTTAAAAAAAAAACTGATTCGGTGCAACTTTTGACAAGAATTTAGGAAGAAAGTAACATATGGCAAGATGTCACACCTGAACCAAACTTGTATGTGAGTAATAATGGTACTCACAGTAGGACAGGTTTAGAAGTAACCATCTCTGATTGGAAGTGAGCTTGTAGGCTAACCGTAACTGGTTGCACCTACAAAAATCGATATTTATTTTTGCATATGGCTCTTTATAGGTTCACATGTCAAAATCTATTTTCGCATACGAACATCTTACCAGTATGAAAACAAAAACAAGTATAATTTCGCAGACGGACCACTGTTAACAGTGAAATTTGGTAATCGGCAAAGACGTCATCGGCTTAGAATCGTTATCAGCTGTAGCATCTCGGAATCAGCCGATGTGAGTTATCAAGTCGCCAATAGTCGGATTCCTGCTATATTCGGTTAAGGAAATCAATCTACTAAAGGAAACTTATCCCTAAGTGACCGAGTTTAAAGAGGATGCGGCATGGCAGTTTATCTATTAATTAGGAATAGTTTGTTAGTTTCCTTTTATCTTTAGGAAACAATGTTTAGTGTCCGATAAGGACTTTATATTTTCCTTTTATCTTTAGGTTAGTTTCTTTCTTGTCCGACAAGGACTTGTATCAACCCATGGGTATAAATATGTACACCCGGGGTCTATGTAATCTATCCTCACGATCAATACAATTCGGCGCATCGCCACCTTTTACCTTTTCTACTTTATTTTATCGTCCGGCGGGACTTGGCACCTGACGCGGGGCTGCATCGGTGTTCGATCTCCGGCTAAGGGGTAAGTCCAATGTTCTGCCAGCCCAGGCAATTGTATCGTCTACGTCGGCGCCGTTCAAGGCTGCATCAGTACATTCGACCTCTTGGATTACTCCGGTTTGGATGATATATTTGCCTACCTATTTATCATATGTCTCTGTTAATCTAGTCTTAGCATATCAATCTAGCTCTATCGGCTGTTTCTTGTTTTAGGGTTTCTGCTGGTATCGGCTAAATCGTGTTGCTAGATTAAATTAGCTTAGACATCTACCACCCTGAAAACTCAGTCAACGGCTTGATTGTCTAGATATTATGTTTCTTTTCATACTTAGTGCTGCATAAGTTAAGTTTGATCTACTAAGTCGTTCTTAGAACCATAATCTCTAGCTTACTTCTTGATTGCCAATAAGGGTTTCATCGGGGTTTTAGCCGGTGAGTTATCTGGACGTTGCATCGGCTCATAAGGATTGCATATACATATAAGTTGGATTTAGCCGATGACAACAAAGGCTTCACTATTTAATCTAATCTTGTGGATTTCATGACATCGGACCTCCAGCCGATGTATGCTCTAACCTTCAGATCGGTGCTTATTCTATCATATCAATGCTAGCCGATTGGTTTATACTGGACTATATTATTGTTATATTTTATTATCAGTAGCCGATTGCCTATATATCATTATTTACTAAAGTGTTAGAATCTACATTGGACGTATAACCGATTGCTTCAACCCTATCGCTATCGGCTGGTATCGGCATCGGCTATTATCGGCTATCGGCTGGAACTACTCCATCGCCTTGTTAGCCGATCGACTGTTTTGATCTACTATTTGCATATCTTGTCAGTTGCAGGATCAAACTGACTGGCACGCCCGCATCTCATCAACCTTTGGACCTGCACAGGAGCTAAGCAGATATCCCGAGCCAGTGTGTTCGATTTTTTCGTCAACAACCACTTAAACGGTTGGATGGGAAAATGCATTTTTAAGTCTCATCCTTATCTCCTCACCTCTCATTTTTCCACAACCTTGTTTCCTATCTCTCTCCCCCACTCATTTTTCTCTCTCAACTCTCCTGTCACACCCCAATCTGGCACCGCCGTACAACGTCACCTGATAGGAGCGTGTCGTAGGAAAAACGGCGCGGACCGCTTCCTATGAAACCGCGATCTCAGTACCAGTCCCAGGACATAGTGCTGGTACCCACGGTGACAAATATGAATCATTGCAATCCTTAAAATAAATAGAGGACTTATTTACCTTAACTTAGGTTGCAGCTCAGAACAGCCCGAGATTGCAACCGACGACGCGAACGAGGAAACACCAACAACAGCGGCAGCAGCGGAACCAACGGACTAACACCCAACACCACAGGCGACGGCTGGGAACCAGGACGAAACCCTAATCTTCACTTTACTTCATCTTCAACTTCCGGGCGGAGGAACTATATATATATTTATATAGAGCAAGGGTGAGTACTTTTGTACTCAGCAAGCCATGGGAATTTAGGTGTTTAATGCAAGCTTGGAGGAGAGGCAAGGTTATTTTTGCAAATCTTTTGTTTTGAAATCATTTTGAAATCACTAAGTGATTTATTTCTTTCTAAGTTTGGGCCGAAAAGAGACTTGCGTCTCGATTCGACTTTAAGAGATGTTTTTCAACAGCTCATTTGGTAATGTACCGACCTCCTGGGTCAGATCATTACTTCTCGGCTCCCAAAGCCATTCCACTTGATTAATCGGCTCCCAGAGCCTTTTTCATTTTCTCGGACTCCCAGAGTCCAGCTACCCAGCAGCACAACAATCCGCTTCCACTCGGGAAGCCTAGTCTATGATGCCCGTAGACATCCCGAATCACACAGATTCGTTTCTTGACCACTCAGGTCATCCATCTGCCACATAGGCTGATTCTGGGAATGATTCCCACACCACAACAACTTTTCACAAAGCACAGGCAAACAAATCTACGCTACAGGAAACACCTCACATCCGCCCATGACCGTGGGCATGGCTGTTCGAACAGTCAGTTACCCACACGACATTACTAACCCGGATCACCCAGCCCATGAGATCAGCCACGTCGGGAGACCTTAAGGCTTTCATGACAAGGCATTTCGAAAGCCGACACAGGTTCACCATATGCCAACGAGAGGGGTCCCAGACCAACACCAGATTAGGTCCCAGACCATACTGTGCCAGGAAGCCCGAGGGTTCTCCCCGACACCACCCCGTTGAATCCACATGTCTCTTGGCATCAAGGCTTCCTTGGTTTGCTATTTACTCAGCCAGGGGCGTCCCATTGCACCCGTGTGGTCGCACTTGTTATATGCTCGGATGAATTTCCCACAGGAATCGGTACTTATATGCGAATACGGGACAGTGCCACACAGGCACAACCCCCGCATTGCGAGTTTTCACAATTTATTTTGTTTTCAAACACACCGACGCCACATGTCGGGTTTTCAAGGCTTCTCAAACCCATTTCCCAAATTTTCGACAGACAACGGTGTATGTGGAATAGTTGGTATACGCGCTCAGAGAACACGGATACTGAAGTACCACAAGGGTGGAGCGACAAGGAAATCAGGGTAGTACAATCTACAGGAATTAGTGCGACTACTGGGTAGGTCCATCGGTTTGGCACGCATACTGAGGCCAAGCAAGTTGAGTGTGTGATTCTAATAATGCAAGTTGCAAACAAAATAATAATGATTTTCCAATTATAGGAGCAATTGGTCAAAGGGTGACTTGCCTTGCTCAAGGTCTTCATGAAGCTTCACGAATCTTCGAGAAAACCCGCGATCGACGAAAATCCGGTAACCGCAACTATACGCAAGCAATCAAAAACCTAAACAAAAGACCAAAAGAAAGATCCTATTTAGACTAAATAATAGTGCCATTAGATAGATCTCAATTTTATGGAAATACTGGAAGTGGAACGGAGTCAATCGGACGAGCGGTCGAGGAGATATGAATTTTGGAAGTTTAATCGGAATTTCTAGAAGATGAGAAATGGTCTATGGAATTTATAGAAATAATATTCTCAAGAATATTATTGAATTTCACTGACAAGCAGGACCAAGGGAAAATGATTAATAGAATTTTGGAATAAGAATTGATTGTGGAACAAAGGAAAAAGGATTTATTAAATCCCTTTTTGGAAGGGAAATCAAGGAGGGATGTATATTAGACTTGGGCCGAGTGAAGAGGGCGCGGCCCAGGGCATTTGCGGCGCGGCCGAGGCAAGCGGGCCGGCGCGCGGGAGGGAGGCGGCCCAAGGCCGAGCGAGGCGTGGCCTATGCGACGCAAGCCGGTGGACGCGGTCCACCGTGCCGGGCGCAAGGTGGGACCCACAAGGCAGCGACACGGCTCACGCGGGCCGGGTGCACGCAAGGCGGCGCGATGGATTGGAGGACCGGGAAACCTTTGACCGGTCTCCGCGGGGCCGGGCGGCTGAGGTGGCATCCACGTGGACGCCACGTCGGATGGGGAAGGGAGAGGAGGCCGGGAATGGCATCGGACGGCCGGCGGCGAGCGACGCAATCCGGCGAACGGCGGTGGGAGGGAGAGAGAGGTGGACACCGGCGGATAGAGGAGGTCAAGGGGAAACAATTCAACAGAGCGGATTAGCTGGGGAAGGAACGACGACGGCTGGCGGCGGCGACCAATCTCGCCGGCACGCCGACGTGGCCGCGCGCGAAAAGAGCGAAGGGCGCGCGGGCTCGGGCTTAGCCGAACCGGTATGGTGTTGCGACGCGCACGCGGTGACGCGGGACCCGATGGTCGCCGTGTTCGAACTCGCGGCGGCGCTATGCGGCGGCGGAAGGGGCGGCATGGCGCGGGAGCGGTTTGGGAGGCCGGCGACTAGGGCGGCAGCCTGGGAAGGTTCAAGGGGACACGGGGAGGGTCGCGGCGCAAGGAATCGGCGAGAGAAGGGCCGACGGCGGCGGATTGCGGCGGCGGCCATCGCCGGCGGAGAAAAGGGGAAAACTCGCCGGGGCAACGGGAGTCCAATTCACCGGGGAAGGAGCTTCTACATGGCTCCGGGAACTCGTTTCAAGCAACGGGTGGCGACGAGCTAGCCTAGGGGGTCATGGCGACGGCGAGGTGGACGCGACGGCGGGGCGACGCGGCGAAAAGGGGGGAGAGGAGGGGAGCGGCCAAGGCGACGTCCCGGGGAGGCT